ACCAAAGCATTAAACAAAATTTATTACGCACGGTAGAACAACAAGCAAGTAAAATTCTTACGTCGGCTACTACCAATTCATCGAAAAAATCTTTCAATCAGCGATTTATGCAGGCATGGGATGACATTGATGCAAGCAATGTTTTCTCAAGAGAAAGGAGAGCTACAGAAGCACTTAGCCTTGGTACAAGTGTAGTAGCACTGGGTACATCAGCATACAATACTATTGAAATATTAAGTGTGAAGGACACTGAACAACAAATTCTAGATCATATTCTATCAGATGATAAAATACTTCAATCAACTGTAGCAAATATCGTTTCGCTAACTGATACTCAAGTAGCCGTGGTCGAGGAACTGGGTCAAACGCGTCATTCATTGACAATATTACAGGATCGTTTAGTCTATTTGTATAATGGCTTCAAAACATTACAAAAAGTGATAAACACTGTCGTACAACAGTCGATACCAATACTCGAAAATGAATTACATTATGATAAAATTCATCGTTCATTGGATAATCTATTAAAAGGACAAAAAAATTTTGATTATTTGTCTCGGAATGAACTTCATCAAGTTATCGATCGAATATTTAAGCAGTCAGAAAAAATTCTTTCATTATTCGACATACCATTGATGATTCTTATCAACCGTTTAGTGGCATTACAATCATTTCATTTTGCTTTTAACAATGACGATAATACGAATGGCAACAGCCATGAATCACAAAATGAAGCTATACCAGCAATATACCGATTAGGAAACTTGATCATCTCGAATGTTGTCTTTATTCATCGAGTACGACCATCCATACCTGTCTATCAAGTCTTTAATACACCATTCTTCTCATCGAATGCCTCTTACCAAGTGTATAATCTACCACGCTATATCGGTATTGACTATAAAAATAATCAATCATTAGCCTGGTATTCAGGTGATAACAACATCAACACATGTCACTTCGGTAAAATTACCTTTTGTCATGTTCTACCACCAGTTGCTTATCAAAGAATTGAGCATGGATGTTTAAATAAAATGTTTATTGAGAATCAAAGTAGTCTGTGCTCATTCGTTGAATCCTCATTCAAATCTCCCTATGTAAGAAATATTCATGACAATACGTACATCATATCGGTTATGGGCGATACTCACTGCGTGATGTCAAATGAACAAACTGACGACAATGTTCTTCCTGTCGATATGGATGATATTGTAATAAAACAAATAGGAATTGTGACTGTACCATGCCACTATTCTCTTAAATGTAATCATCATATATCAATACGATCTTTCAATTGCAAAAGAAAAATAGATTATTATCTGACAGCCAAGGGACATTATTCTAAGAGCGATGAACTTTTAAAATTACTAAATAGTAATACTTTCAACGATTCAATGGTATTAGGATTTATAAATGAAGCAAATAATATTAACATGATTAACAAAAATTTGTCACAGATACAACGTGACCAAAAAAACATACAGCATGAAATTAAACAGAATCTATTACGCTTCCCATCGTTCCTCAAAAAATTCGGACTCGTCATCGTTCTTATTATTGTGTTTCGCTGTTCTGTTTGCCATTATTATTATTATTTTTCTCTTGTATGTAAAATATTGTTCAAGAAATGTGTATGTGAATGTTCCTGCCAGATGGAATGAAGCGTGGTAAGCAGTCTGCAAAGCATCTTACGATAGAATTCTTCTTTTATGATCAAGTTTTTTCTGCGTTTCTTTTCAGAAAATGTAACTGCTATCAAAATTAGTCCAATCACGATAACTGACAATAAGAAAAATTTTTTTGTCATTCTTCTATACATATTGAAGTATCTATAAACGATTTAATATCAACATGACTGTTCATCAGTTTTCTCACCATGATACACTTTTTTTCTTCTTTTGTAGTACCCATATGTGAGTAGAAAGGTATGATAAAAGACAATCACAGAACTGTTTGTCAAAACACCAATATGTGCATATCTATATAAATGACAGGTTCACGAATGGACTTATATCAGTCAAAATGACTCCATAAGATCAATAAAATGTGCTGCTTGTAACAAACAACATTCGCTATTTTCTTGAATATTCTAGAAGTAATAAATAATCACGCCAATTTTTTTGGATATTTGACTATTAAAGTTTACTAACAAAAATAATTAACATGTATCATGATACAATAGCTGGAGAGGAGGAACTACGAAATCTGAATATGTGCCAAGAAAAAGGTAAACATTAGGCGCAGAACGAATTTATACTTTATATCCTTTTCGTTTCTAGAATCTGATAATGATTTATACCCAACAAAACTATTTTCAAATAGAAACAGAAATATCAACACATATTTCGAAGAATCTCAACAGGCATTTATTGATTGCTTCTTTCTATATCCCCATATGACTGTATGGCATATTTAAGAACAGTCGGACTCACGAGGGAACCGCCCGAGGTGATACCCTCCGTTTCTAATGAGTTATATCTCAATCGATAGAGTATATCGAGCTAATAAAAAGCCTAAAAGGATTCGGGCCCATTACTCTTGAAGACCCGGTTTTCTGAAAAACTGGTTTTTCAGAAACTCTAAAAAATAATCAAAACCTTCTCTTAGTAAGAGATGATTGTAGCCTGCACATTTCTGATTAAAACGAGGCATCTCCTAGCTCTACACGATCTTTCTTTGCAAAGTTATAGAGTTTACAAGAAAAGCCCTAAATGTTCATTGTCAGCTCAAAGCTACAGAAATAAAAAGAGATTAATTTAGGGCTTTTCTTGTAAATTCTATAACTTTGCAAAGAAAGGTCATGTAGAGCCGGAAGGTGTCTCATTTTAATCAGAAATGTGCAGGCTACAATCATCTCTTACTAAGAAAAGATTTTGACTATTTTTTAGAGTTTCTGAAAAACTGGTTTTCCGGAAAATCGTGTCTTCAAGAGTAATGGGCCCGAATCCTTTTAAGCTTTTTATTAGCTCGATATACTCTATCGATTGAGGTATAACTCATTAGAAACGGAGGGTATCACCTCGGGTGGTTCCCTCGTCAGCTCTAAGCTTCATAATTTAGAAGTAAAAATTAATCTTTGCTAATAACTGTCCTTTTCCGTTACAGACACCATTGAAAAGTACTATAAAAAAACAACAGTCTTCAACAGCGAGAGTACCTGAATTTACACCGCGAGTAATGAATATACTTGAAGTGTCAAGCACTATTTATTACTAACAATGATTCATTATATTTTTGTGTAGCAACTGAGCAAACGGCAAGCAGTTCTAGAGAAATCTGCAGTGAATACAAATCTGTCCACTTCATTGACAGTGGTAAACATCTTATTTTGCTTAACTGGAATATTCTACTTCCTTTCAGCTCCTAAATTGGTCTGAAATTGAATTAATGATATTGATAAAAGTTTTATTCTTTAAGAATACAAGCGGAAAAATATTGCATTATAGTATTCCAAACTAAAACGATCAAAAAACACAAAATCAGTTTTGTACGAATAGAGATTCGACGACATGAAGCAGAACATTCAAAACAGAACACGAAAACCAAACCAAAAAAGTTAATGTTGATAACATCGAGTCGATTGCACAACTTCAATCATTATACAGAATATAGACACAGAACAGTGAATTTAGTTTTGCAGTTTACTGCAAAGCTAAGTTCATGTGTTCGAATCTCTCTGTTCGTACAAAATTGTTTTTGTGTTTTTCGATACTTTTAGTTGGGAATACTATAATGGAATATTTTTCCGCTTGTATTCTGAAATAGGGGTGGCACATTACTGTCACTTTTGCGAGTAATCCAAATATTGTATATATTCCTACTACCAGTAATAGTAATACAGTTCAGTTTTACTGTTGCTGGTAACAGGAATGTTCATAAACTTTGTACCATCAACAGTAAAAGTGGAAAGTGTTATTGTTACTGGTAATAGGAATACATACAATATTTGGATTATTCATAAAAGTAACAGTCATCTGCCACCTCTATTCTGAAAGGATAAAGCTTATACCAAACTAATGATATTCTTATACAATATATATTTTCTAGGATGAATTATCCACTACACCAACTCTTTGCTCAAATACATCGTCATCACAAAATCAAACAACGAGATTAAGGTCTTTTACTATTAATATTTGTGACTTTACTCAACAAGGTCTCAAACTGAATAATAAATTGACTATCAATGCAACAGTGAGACTCATTCAAGAAACATTAAAATTAAAATACGATGAGACCTGCGATAGAAGTGTACTAACGGACATTGTGAAATCATCAATGATTAAGTTGGCAGCACAACGTGAAACAAATGAGGAAAACGTAAAAGGAGAAATTACCTTAATGTTATCGGTGCAAAACATTCAGAAGGAAAAGGACAATCTGAAATCAAAAATTCAGCATCGTGGTAAGGCGTTTATTGATACAAGTGGACGAGTATTTCGCGCAATAAAAAGCAAACTAAACACTGATGAGAAAACAACCAGTTCTATAGTAGAAGATAAAGAGAAGAAAGTAAGAGATCTAAAATATTTTGTTTCTGTGAATGTAATATATCGAAATACGTCGGCGATTTTTTTAGAAAGCTGGAAGAAGAAGAATGTTGAAGGAAAATGAATTAATTATGAAGATCGATATTTCGTCATTCATCGAAAAAGACGAGAGTCTTCAAGATGAAGAACACATATTACAACTAATAAAATTTGTTAAGACAATTGTGACCGACAATAACTTAGCATTTTCAACAATTACAATCGAAAAACAGATACGAAATCAACTTAGTAAACTCAAATATCAGCATGTGCAAGCACGTAAATCAAGAAAACAACGAACATCGTTGCTCTGGCCTACTAAAATAATAGCTATTAAGCTGGCAAGTCAGAACGACGAAATTTCCAATTCATTGAACAAAACATTCATTTTCAATATTGACAGCACGAATATTAAGGATACAAATTTGAACCCGCTTAATCATGATGAAATAGATTTGCATTCATTTACTCTTGATGACATTAGCTGTTTGACTGATCATAACGAAGAAGAACTATTTATCGATAAATCAGTCGTGACAATCTTATCGGAAGATGATATACGTGTATCCATCGATTATTCTATACTTCCATATTTGAGGAGGGACGATACTACATTCGCAAATTTCATACGAACAATCAAGAGTCGATTAATTGATCTCAATATTTCTGAACAACGTATTAACTGGTCATCAATCCAGAAATCGTTAATTAAACGTCTGAGTGTTGTTCAGCTTAGCGAAGATACCCAGACGAATAAAATAATTACATTCGCGTTTAAACTTGTATCAATGAATGAGGTAAATTATTTTTAGAACTTGCATACGAGTCTTCCCTTTCATTCGTGTGCACATGACTGCTCATTAAGATCAAATTTCTTTTCTACATGAAAGCAGTAAAAAAGAAGGGACGTATATGATTAAAATAAATTTTTTCTATTCACTTTAAGACTGATACACAATGTGATAGGCAAACACGGTCGATGATAAATCCCAACCGTCAGTTGAAATTTGATGAATATGATATTCAAGAGTTCATGTTCAATCAGCAAGACGTAAGAATACTAAAAGAAGACAGGTTGATGGAAAATCA